GATCATCTTCCCTCGGTGGAGGCACACCGCCGATACCGGTGTTGGCATCAACCTCTAGGCCTCCGATGAGGTAGAAGGTGGGAGGGCGGGGCTGCACGCGGACGCCAGAGGCGGGAGGCAGGAAGACGGATGTGTGGCGTGGCTCCCAGCTGCCCGACGAACACCACAAGAGAAGGCGGCCAGGCCCACCCACCCACCCACCCATCCCCCCCCCCCCAAAGGGCAAACACAAGCATGTGTGGTCACCAATACACACGTAGGAGTGCCACAACAGGACGTCGTGCACCGAACGACCCAGCCGTGGCAGGGCTCATTTCGACTTGTATAATTCGCCTCGATTCGACGTCGTTGGCATCCGATTCCGATTCGATTCGGCTGGGATTTTTCGATCTGCATTCCGATTTCTCAATGGAGGCCCACTGGCATGCCGATTCCCGCCGATTCAACGTTTCCCAACTCGGCTGCCGAGTTCCGCCGATCAGATTCATTTCGACCGCCGATCCCACATATCGTCCTGGCTGCGGCGGTTGCGCGCAAGCTCAAGCCGTCAGACCCCCCTGTCAACGCTGGCACTGCCAGCGCCCTCGGCGCCAAGAGTGGCCAGGAGGATCAGAGTTGGAACGTGTAGGCACTGGCGCGTCTCACGAAGAAGCTCAAGTCATAGGACAGGTCTGGGCATGGCTGCATCCTGGGTAGAACAGGCGAGGCACGGGGAACATGGAGGCCAACTCATCTGTGACCTCAGACCGCTTTGGATGGAGGACATTGACGAAACAGCTCCATACCGAACTCTAAGGGCTCTGCTTCGAGGGGGCATCGGTCGGCGAGAATTGCTGATCACCTCCCTGTTGTAAACCAGGAGGATCACTGACAGATGCAAGCAAAATTGTCTCCCGAGCAATCGATTGCGACACATGTGAGACCGAGCTCCCTCAACCTTGCAGGCTGTGCCTTGCAACTGGGGAGCGACAGCCTGGCGGAGGGATCTGTGCCTGGGCGTTTCTCGATGCACGAAGGCACTAAAAGCACTGCCAGAAACAGTCCGTCCAAAGCCACTCGTGCAAAGAAGTCTGCTTAAATTGTTCTGGCGAACAAGGATCGGGACCCTCTGAACACTGGTCCCCATGTCCAGGCGCGGCCAGCTCGGCATCAACTTTTCCGCGAGGAGGCCGACAGCCTTCAGACACCGCCAAATCCCTGTCTAACTGTTCTGTTTAGTCAGGCGAAGGCTCGGGATGCAGATAGGCAGCCATCTCAGCCGAGACATCGATGTCGCAGTTTCCCTCCCGCAGATAGCGCTCCCAGCTACATTTAGAGCCCGAAGCGCTGAGATGAGCCTTGACCTGAGTCGCTCTGCACCGCTGATACAAAAAAGGGCGGCAGAACTGAGCAATGCCAGAGTATCATGTCCTCTTGGGCGAACACTCCTCCGCCCCAAAAAAGCGCGTGGAAATCAGCACAGGTCTAACAACGTAAAAGGAGGTCGCACGACCGCTTGACCACTGCTGGGCAACGGAGCAGCAATGAGATCTGGCAGCCCGAGGTGTCTGGGGGCATGGCGCCCAGACTGGCCCTCGAACACACAGGACCTCGAGACCTGTAGAGCAATTCCAGAGGGAGAAAAAGCCCAACCCGCCATGCTGAGTTCGCTGATCCCCCTCCTGGAACATGACCCCTCTCCGAAAAGATCCTCGACGGCAACGCTGTCGACCGAGATGTCCTCCGAAGGCTCAGAGAAACGCTCGACCTGGATACCACCAGCAGCGAGGGGCCAGGGAGAGCCTCGCGGGGTGCCCGATTTTCTCCGAAGATGGCCAGCGCGTCGTTTGCCTCCGCCGCCTAAGTCTGAACCCAACCCTTGACAAATTCGTCTCTCCGGCCGCTGCAGGCAATGCACTCCCACAGGCGATGCCCTGAAGTGTCGGGAGCAGCTTGGCAGAGCGGGCATATCGACTTCAAGCTGATAGCCTAGGCGGCTGCCCGCTGACGCGTGCAAATGACATGACAACACAAGCCCTCACTCAGCTTTTCTGAACCAGCGTGAGTTTCGAGCTTCAAAACCATTGCAAAATTCCGGAGTAGGAGGGAGTGGGCAGGAGGCAACTGTCCATGGATTCACTACATCCTCCATCCTTTTACATCCCCATGTTCCATCCCTGTTTGCCTGCCCCCCCTCGCTCGAGACCCCTCCTTCTCCGAAACATCCGACGACGCGAGTTTTGATACGCGGCCCCAGCGGTCTCCTGACAAATTGTTGATGGCCCTGGGACCCGAAGACAGACTTGGTAAGCCGAAGCTGACAACAAAAAAATTAGATCAACAAAAAAACGTATGATGTCTGGGCTTCCTGGCATACTGACCCTGACCGCAAGTCTTCAGACCTCGCCACAGCTTCCAGGGGGATCGGCTTTTCATAACGGCTCGGGTATGTGGGCCCATGAGCCGAGAATTGGGTGCTGCTAGAAATGCCCCTTGCCCAAGTTGCTGCCCAAGGATTCCCGGGGTGGGTGGCCCAGACGGCCTCCAGAGCAACCCCCACGAAGCCCAGAGGGACCCAGGGGCTCCAAAAGTAAAGCGAAAATCTGGGGGCACCCTGGGCCAGGGGCGCTTATAGCAACACCCGGCAGAAGCGGCTTCCGAGCGCCGAAATCAAAGAGAGCCGTCCGCTGGAAGAACGAAACCCCTGCCGCCGGCTGCCGCGTCAGCCTCAACACAGGCCCATGTCGGACCCAGATCTGGGCGGAGACGGCCCCCTGGCTTGGAGGAGAGCCCCTCCAAATCGGCCTGACCAGGCTCCTGGGGGGAGGGACCTGGGGAAGGGCAACGACACTCGGGAACCGTTGCTTCGCCTGTGGCACCGCCGGCTCTGGCCCACCACGCTTCGGCGCGGCACGGTTCCCAGCCTCCTGTGCCCGCTGGGATCTGGGCCCCAGCTGGGCTGCGGGGAGCGCTCCTCTCCTGACCTCCTGCCTCTCCCCTCCAGAAGGGCGGGGGGAGTGCGGGGGGGAGGGTTTTTTTTGCGGGGGGGGAGTGCGGGTGGAGGGTGGGAGGTGCGAGGGCGGAGTCGGGAGGCTGGCTGGACGAGGCTCTCCGACCCCACACCCCCAGGAGCCCAGACCCCCAGCTTGGTGGTGGTCAGTTCCGCTCACGCGACCTCCTGCCTGTAAAAGCCAAGCCCGCGTCGCGACAGAATCACGACGGAATGCTGTTCCCCTTATTTTTCGCCACTGGGACCGCCACAAGACGACTCGGGACGAAGAGCCGGTCCCAGGGGCGGGGTCCAGACCTCGGGGGGGGGCCCCGCTTCGAGTAGGGGATCGACTACGTACACAATTGACGTGCCACAACTGGTGTGCCCCAGAATTGATGGTCCAGACCTCGGGGGGGGGAGCCCAGACCTCGGGTGGGTGGGGGCCCTGCTTCGAGTAGGGAACTGACTACAGAATTGATGCGCCCCAGAATTGATGCTTCGAGTAGGGGATCGACTACAGAATTGATCTGCAAATAAAGGATCCTATGTATGTTTGTGAATATTCGAACACTCTGTGTGCTGCTGCGCAAGCCCGACGAACCTTTCAATTTTGGAAGCAATCCATGCTGTAGTCGATCCTCGACTCGATATGCTGCGAAAGAGCATCGGGGGGAAAGAGCTCCGCCCCCCTCTCCCGACCCCCTGCCTCTCCCCCTCGACAGGGGGCTAAAAAAACACCCCCATAATCAGCACCCCCACAAGCGAAGCCCTTCAGTAAACGCACCTGAGGCGAGACGAAGCGAGGCGAGGCGAAGCGCTGGTCAGTCGTCCCGGTGGGCGGCCCTACGAGAGCCCGGCAGTGGCGCTGGAGCGCCGAACATGACGGGGCGGTCAGTGAACACCCAGGGCTGTTCAGTGAACGCCAATTGTTGGGGTCGGGGCGTTTTGGTTCCTCCCTTGACTCGAAGCAGAAGGTAGGTCGAGCAGGGGATCGAGTACAGCACTGATGTACCCCAAAATGGGCATGCTCGTCGGGTCTGCACAACGGTACGTGGAGCGTTCGGAAATCTACGAGCATGCCATGGTTCATCTCCAGATTCCACGAGCAAGTCAAGTCTGGGGCACATCAATTCTCATTGCACCCGCATTGCAGACGTGCTGCAGCGGATTTCTGCGTGGATTTCTGCGTGGATTTTTGCCCGAAGCGGCAAGCGAAAAACGAAGTGAATTTCACGTGGATGTTTGCTTGTCTTCATTCCGGGCCAACAAAAAGAATCGCACGAAATTCATTTCGAAATCCGGAACGAAATTCTCCAGGACACTCCGGGCCCATCCTATCGTTTTCCGAACGAAATCCGTTCTGCGATGTTGGCGCGATGACAATTCTGGGGCACAACAGTTCTGTAGTCGATCCCATGCTCGAGCGGGAGGCGTGGGAGGCGTGGGAGGCGGTGCGGTCGTGGGAGGCGGGAGGGCGGGAGGCGGGAGGCGAGGCGCCCAGGCCCCCAGACCTCTCTGCGAGTTGCCCCGCAGTGCCCGGGGCGCAGGCGGGGAGTGCCAGGACGAGCCTGGAGGGAGCTTGCGCGTTCACGCTGGTCGTCCTTTGAATCTAATGTTTTCCTCCCCCCCACAGCGACAGTTATCGATGGAAAAGTTGTATGCTTGAAAAGATCCACATGTTGGCGGACCACCATGGATGCGAAGATTGTGGCGCCAGCGGAAAACATGCCGACCGAGTCCTTTGAACATGCCTGGGGGGCCAGGTCCAGAGTAGGGAACAGACTCTGTACACCGACGCTCATGCTGGCACTGCCCTGGCACCTGCACAGGAGAGCGGATCCTGGTGTATATGCGGGATCCTGGTTACAATTTTCGCTGCTTCCCCAGGAAACAGAAGAAAGTACACACCACATCGCCCCGACTTCGACCCCGACACCCAAAAAGTCATGGGATTGGAAAAAAAACTCCACTGGAAATGTATATGTTCAGTTTCCGATACGGAGGGTCGGGGCGCAGGGCGCTCGGGCGGCGTGCCACTTTCTTCTTCAATCTGCAACGTCTGTTTGGGATCAACTGGCCGCCAGGGGCAACGCGCCAGCACCTCCAGAGTTGCACCGACGGCCAGAAAATAATGCTGCCAGGTTCCTGCGCGCAGCTCTATAGAAAGGCAGGGGACCTGGCCCAGGGACATACATACTCAAGTCGTCCTAGGAAGACGTGGGCCAGAGAAGTGGGCAGGCATGCCGCTGCCGCCTGCGACGCCTGCGGTTTTTTGGTGACCCAAAAGGGGGTCCAGCTGCAGGGGGGTGGTGCAATAGGTTTGGGGCAATTGTCTTGCACATGTATGGCGCCGGAGAATTGTATTGCATTGTCTTGCAAGTAATGTATTCTACGCGAAAATGCAGCAGCACATCTGCGCCCTGGAATGTAATTGCACGCCTCAAATGTATTGCAACCCCACAAATGTATTGCACCAAATCTATTGCACCACCCCCTTGTCGCTGGATCCCCGTTTGGGTCAACCCGAGGTTTTCCCAGAGAGAGAGAGAGAGTATAGCCCTCGTCCCAGCAGACGGCCGAAGACAGCTGTGCGGAGGTACTGCGCACCGCGCCAGCTTGCCCTGACTGCCCATGTGCTCGCCACGAGGCGTCGCAACAGCAGCTGCAGTTATGTTGGTCCCATCGTACTTGAGGACCACATCCCAGAAATAATTTCGAGCACCCAGAAAAGTGTCGAAAGAGTGTCGAAACAGTGTCGAAACAGTGTCGGACGAGTGTCTCCCAGGGCCCGACACGTCCCCTGCAGCTTTATGATGTTCCAACCGAAACTCATGGGGTTTCACGTGTCGGGCCCTGGGAGACACTCGTCCGACACTGTATCGACACTGTTTCGAGACTCGTTCGACACTTTTCTGGGTGCTCGAAACTATTTCTGGGATGTGGTCCTCAAGTACGATGGGACCAACATGAGACCGTAGCCCCGCGGGCGGCAGATCCGGCAGGGTGTCCGAGCGCACCCCGCACCTGCAGAGCGCCGCGGCGGCCTCGCGCCGACACGCGGTCGGCCCGCCCCCGCGCACGGAGCGGCATGGAGGGGCCCGGGGGCACTTGAACAAATGCACACGAGTCTTAAGTCGGGCCTGTCCCTCTACAGGAGGAATATTCAAAAATATTCAAAACCAAAATATGCGGACGATGTTTTGACTGTTTTTGGTGTATTGTTGAATATTTACCTAACAGCGAAGACTGATAGGTTTCTAGTAGGGTCAAAAGAAAACATCATGACGCCCCAGGGGGGTCTGGGCGCGATCCGGGGGAGGGTGCCGGATGCTTTTTTAGCAAGCAGTTACACACTTCGGTCTTCGAGGTCCCAGAACTCCATTCCTGGGCCACCTTCCGAATGCCCGGAGCCAACTGTAGGCCACTTCGTGGTCTTCGAGGTCCCAGAACTCCATTCCCGGGCCACATTTTGAATGCCCGGAGCCAACTGTAGGCCACTTCGTGCTCTTCGAGGTCCCAGAACTCCATTCCCGGGCCACATTTTGAATGCCCGGAGCCAACTGTAGGCCACTTCGTGGTCTTCGAGTTCCCAGAACTCCATTCCTGGGCATGATTTTGAATGCCCGGAGCCAACTGTAGGCCACTTCGTGTTCTTCGAGTTCCCAGAACTCCATTCCTGGGCCACATTTTGAATGCTGAGGCAGGCTGATGCTGAGGCTGAGGCAGGCTGAGGCTGAGGCAGGCTGAGGCTGAGGCCGAGGCTGAAGGCAGACTGAGGCTGAGGCTGAAGCAGGCTGAGGCTGAGGCTGAGGCAGGCTGAGGCTGAGGCTGAGGCAGGCTGATGCTGAGGCAGGCTGAGGCTGAGGCTGAGGCTGATGCAGGCTGAGGCTGAGGCAGGCTGAGGCTGAGGCCGAGGCTGAAGGCAGACTGAGGCTGAGGCTGAAGCAGGCTGAGGCTGAGGCTGAGGCAGGCTGAGGCTGAGGCTGAGGCAGGCTGATGCTGAGGCAGGCTGAGGCTGAGGCTGAGGCTGATGCAGGCTGAGGCTGAGGCAGGCTGAGGCTGAGGCCGAGGCTGAAGGCAGACTGAGGCTGAGGCTGAAGCAGGCTGAGGCTGAGGCTGAGGCTGAGGCTGAGGCTGAGGCAGGCTGAGGCTGAGGCAGGCTGAGGCTGAGGCTGAGGCTGAGGCAGGCTGAGGCTGAGGCAGGCTGAGGCTGAGGCCGAGGCTGAAGGCAGACTGAGGCTGAGGCTGAAGCAGGCTGAGGCTGAGGCTGAGGCAGGCTGAGGCTGAGGCTGAGGCAGGCTGAGGCTGAGGCAGGCTGAGGCTGAGGCTGATGCAGGCTGAGGCTGAGGCAGGCTGAGGCTGAGGCCGAGGCTGAGGCTGGCTGAAGGCAGGCTGAGGCTGAGGCTGAGGCAGGCTGAGGCTGAGGCTGAGGCAGGCTGATGCTGAGGCAGGCTGAGGCTGAGGCTGAGGCTGAGGCTGAGGGTGAGGCTGAGGCAGGCTGAGGCTGAGGCCGAGGCTGAAGGCAGACTGAGGCTGAGGCTGAAGCAGGCTGAGGCTGAGGCTGAGGCAGGCTGAGGCTGAGGCAGGCTGAGGCTGAGGCTGAGGCTGGGCTGAGGCTGAGGCTGAGGCTGAAGGCAGACTGAGGCTGAGGCTGAAGCAGGCTGAGGCTGAGGCTGAGGCTGAGGCAGGCTGAGGCAGGCTGAGGCTGAGGCTGAGGCTGAGGCTGATGCAGGCTGAGGCTGAGGCTGAGGCTGAGGCAGGCTGAGGCTGAGGCTGAGGCTGAAGCAGGCTGAGGCTGAGGCAGAGGCAGGCTGAGGCTGAGGCAGGCTGATGCTGAGGCAGGCTGAGGCTGAGGCTGAGGCTGATGCAGGCTGAGGCTGAGGCAGGCTGAGGCTGAGGCCGAGGCTGAAGGCAGACTGAGGCTGAGGCTGAAGCAGGCTGAGGCTGAGGCTGAGGCAGGCTGAGGCTGAGGCAGGCTGAGGCTGAGGCTGAGGCAGGCTGAGGCTGAGGCTGTGACTGCGACTGCCGTTGCCACTGCGACTGCCATCGCGAATGCGACTACGACTGCGAGAACAGCAGAATTCTACAACAGGATTATCATCTGAATATTAAGGGGAATGCTTCCAGATATGCTCCTACACATCGCTGTTAGGTTGCTTTGCCGGGATAGTTTTGAAGTATGTTCTATTTGTCGTCAAAAGTCCGCCTGTAGGGGAACACGCCCGACCTAACACGAGTCCCAGGATTCCGCACATTTCCCACATATCCTGGATGTTCGTTGTCCCCTTCACTTCCCACATGTTTCATACTCTCTGGGCGGTTATTTGTGTCTGTGCATTTTTCCCTTAAGAGATACGTTTGGACGAGGACAGAGCGGGAATCTCTGACAACTGGCGGGCCTGGATCGGCGACTCCAGAGGGTGTGGTTTGCCAAGAGCGTGGTTTGCAACTGGCATCCTGGGGGGCGGCGGGTGGGGACTTCGACAGAGCTCTCCGCCGCGCCCCGAGAATGCCCGACGAGGACAGCGTCGTGCTCCCCAGGCCCCGACGGTGCCGATCGCAAACCACACCCTGGCGTAACCATACCCTGTGCATTAGGTCGGGCATGTCCTCCTACAGGCGGATTGTGGACGAAAAATGATAAAATTGTCACAAAACTATTCGAAGTACTTACAAATAGTCGATAAATCGTCCCCTGACTATTTCTTGACTATTTTTTGAATTTCCTTCCTGTAGAGGGACATGCCCGACTTAACCTTGCAGTCGCCGACTGAAGGATGCATCGGGCACCGCAAACATTCTGGACCGCTCCGAAACGGAACGGTCCGAAACGCTCGGAGCGCGTCCCGAAACACTCTGGAGCGATGCCCCCATCCTGGGCCTGCCTGACATTGTGACTCCCAAACGCCTGGACGTCCTCCTCCTCCTCCACCTCCACCTCCTCCTCCTCATCCTCCGACGCCTACACCATTTCCCAGGACTGGCTCCTCCTCCCGAGTCGCTCATGACGGAGCCGGGACTCGGCCAGGGCCCCCGGAGGCCAGAAGCTTCCACCAGAGGGCGTCCGTGGCCACCTCTGCACGACAAGAGGCGGTCTGGGCCACCTGCGCAGGGAGGAGGAGGAGGAGGAGGAAGAGGAGGAGGAGGAGGGATTCGCTCAGGGGCTAACCGCTTGACCACCTCGCCCCCGACCGTCTCTGGCATGGCTTTCCCTGGCATGCCTCCCTCCTCCTCCTCATCCATCCTGCCTTTTCCCTCCGAGGAGCAATTCTCCCCCTGGACACCGGCCCAGCTGCCAGCCCTCTGGGGCCGCGGAGGCGACCCAGGCAGCCATCGCGAAGCGGACCGGCGGACGGGCCTGCAAAAAGGCTGTCGCGTTGGCGTTGAGCCGAGAGCCTTTCGCGCGAATAGTTGGCTGAGCAGCCGCCAAGGCGCTGAGCAGCGGTGGAATTGTCCCCTTGTCGTCGCGCTGCACTTCCTGACCGGCGGGGTCTCGGCGAAGCTCGGAGGGTGCGAGGGCTGACGCGCGAACCCTCCGTTTGACCGGGAGGAAGAAAAGGAAGCGGAGGAAAGAGCAAACCCAGGAAGCATCAACGATGCCGCAGCACACCCTGGGCATTCCCAAGAGTCATTACACGCAGTATACGGCAGGAAACGCTTCCTTGAAAGACGGGGGCCCCATGTTACTGCTATTGAAGCGAGGGTTCCCTTCTGAAGACGGACCGCCATCCATCCTGAAGAATGCCTTCTACATTCGGGAATAACCCTGGTTATCTGGGGGTGGAGGGGAGATGGGGGCGCCGGCAGACAACCTGACCTCTTCGCTCTGGGAAGCACAGATGCCTCTGTACACCACCGGCCCGCGTGCATTCCAACACGTGCCCATGCGCACCGAAACCGCACGCTTGCGCGTCCCGCAAACGCAGATGCGTGTCGTGGACATCACAAACCACGAGCAAGGAAGACCAAAGCCTGCCAGTACCACAACACCTTGTGGGCACCATGGCATGCACAACAAGATGGTGGACCCTGCCAATCCCACAATAGCCTGCGATCGCCACGCTGTGCTTGCGAGCACCAACAATGCACCTGTGATCCACCACTTTGCAACCACCACAGCGTGCCCGAGAGCACCACCAGGGCCTTGCGACAACCAGACCGCGAAGGAGCAAAGTCTTGCCAGTACCACAACGGCTTACGAACGCTACGCGCATGCAAACACAACTGTATGCTGGACCCTGCATGTCCCGCGATTGCCTGCGAACGCCGCACTGTGCCTGCGAGCACCAGCAGTGCGCCTGAGAGAATCACAGTCGCTTGCGAACGCCAATGCGTAATTAAAGGCTCCTTAGCGTGCTTGCGACGTCGAAACGTCGAGAGAAGCCAGACGGTGTCAGTACCACAAGAGCCTGAGAGCGCCACAATATCCATCCGAGCACCAGCAACGCGCCTGCAACCGCGAGAAAAACTTGCAGGCATCACGACGAAGACGGCAGCACCGCAGTGTGCTTGCGACCGCCAGATGGCGCGGGAAACTGGACCCTGCCAGCACCGCCATGGTCTACGCGCGCCACGCGTGTGCACAGCAGTTCTCTGGACCCTACCAATATAACGACAGCCTGAGAGAGCCGCAGCACGCCTGCGAACACGCACGATGCGCCTACGAGCACCGCAGTGGCCTGCGATCACCACGCCGTGCTTGACAGCAACACAGCACTTGCGGCCGCCAGACAGCACGAGCAGGAGCAGAACAAGGAGGGCGAGGAGGGAAATACAGCTAAAGCATGGTTTGTGTCTCATGGGGAGATGTCCCGTATTTCCTAAGTTAATCAAAATTCCCTGGCGAAAGAGCTCGATCCTCGCTCACCTCCCCTAGCTCAGGGAATCCCTTCACCTGATCTTATCGATGAGTGAACTCTTGACGTCGACGTACGCCATGGCCAGTAATGTCCTCTTAGTGAAGTAAGGTAATGGAGACCGATACGCGCGCGCACGCTAGAGAAAGGCGCGCGCAGCCTTTTCCTGTCCGAGCGCGAAGCCGCTCGGTCCTCACAAGTATACTTGAGCCAAACGCCCGCAACGGCGGGCGGATGGATGATTAAAGCAGCCGAGGCACAGGAAGCGTTGTACACGACTGCCCCCGCGGCGGGCTCCGAGCAGTCCAACCTCGATCAGAATCGTCATTCGCAGAGTTGCTGTGCTATTGCTTACTGCCTAAGTTCCACACCCGCTCTCACTCATCCACCATGAGTTATCTTAATTCCAGCAAGTTCCGACAGCGCCACCGTTCCACCGATTCCTGCAGCTACCATTACTCCATCGGTTCCCAAAGGAAGAAGCCCCCCGGATACCTCATCCTCCTCCTCCTCCTCCTCCTCCCTCCTCCTCCTCCTCCGGCTCCTCCTCCTCCTCCTCCTTCTCCTCCTCACCGTCCTCACTATCCTCACCATCATCCTCGTCCTCAGCGTCGTCATCGTCCTCGTCATCGTCCTCGTCCTCCTCATCCTCCTCTTCCTCCTCCTCCATCTCCTCCTCCTCCTCCATCTCCTCCTCCTCCTCCTCTTCTTCCGCCTCCTCCTCCACCCCTTTTCCTTATAAAGAACTCCACCCCGTCCCACCCCGAGGCATGTTGGTAGGGCAGGCCGGGCGTTTCGCCTGAGACTTCCTCAACATCGATGATCCTGAAGCTGGAAAATTACAAAGGCTTCACGGATGGAGGGCGGGCCGCTTTCAAAATGCGGTTATCACTTTAGCGCCGCGGATATTCGTGTTAAGAATTCGCAAGAGCTTCACGGAAGGAGGGCGGCCCGTTTTCACGCGCACTCGTTTTAACCATGTGCAAGAGTTTCACGGACGGCGGCTCCTTTTCAAAATGGGGTTCCCGCCATAGCGCCGCGCACATTCGTTGTAAGAGCTTACAGCAATGTCAAAAAGTCGCATGGCGACCGTCCCCAAAAAAAGCGGTGTTGCGGCATGATGTCGGACTCGATTCGCGGCGTTGAACCCCAACAATGGTGCTCTTGCACACTTCAGGATGTTCAGAAGGTTGTCTTCCAAAGAGGCACTTCCCTCGGTGAAAATGATTCCTTGTATGGGGCCTCTGAAGACACAACTTGGAAGGAGGGTGTATTCCAATATCGTTGAACCGTCTCGGGTTCACACTGGTCCCCCTCCTCCTAGTTGTTTTTCTCCTCCTCCTCCTCCTCCTCCTCCTCCTTCTGTTCGTCCTCCTCCTCCTCCTCCTCGTCCTCCTCCTCCTCCTCCTCCTCCTCCTCCTCCTGTTCCTCCCCCTCCTCCTCCTCGTCCATCCGCCTTCCTCATCCTCCTCCTCCTCCTCCTCCTCCTCCTCCTCCTCCTCCTCCTCCTCCTCCTCCTCCTCCTCCTCCTCCTCCTCCTCCTCCTCCTCCTCCTTATGATCCTCCTCCAACGGTATCTCCTCCTCCTTGTTCTCACCCCCCTCCGCGACAGCCCGCCTGGCCTTCGCTATCTCCAGTGCGGTCTCGACGCCATCCCCCTCCTTCGCGTTCGCCTACGGGAGCAGAGGAGGGAGGGGCGTAGGAGGAAGGGAAGGAGGGAAGAGAAGGGAGGGAGGAGGGGAAAGAGAAGGGAGCGGGAGAAGGCGGAATGGGGAAAGGGAGGGGGGAGAAGGAGGGAGGGAGGGAGGCAGGGAGGAAACGCAGGGAGGGAGGATAAGGGGGGAGAAGAAGGAGGGAGGATATAGGAGCGAAGAGAAAAAGGGGGAGGAGAAGAAGTCTGGGAACAAAAGGGGGAGGAGAAAGAGGCGGAGGAGGACAGAAGGATGGTAGGGAGGGCGGAAGGGGAACAAGATAGTCGGAGGATTTGAATGTGTTGTCTGAAAACTCGTGCTGTTTTTTACTGGAAACGCGAAGTGTCCGATGGTTCTTTGGGGGGGGCATCTCGAAAGAGACCATGAGGAGGAGGAGGAGGAGGAGGAGGAGGAGGAGGAGGAGGAGAAGGTGGAGGAGGAGGAGGAGGACGACGAGGACGAGGAGGAGGAAGAGAAGGAGAAGGAGGAGGAGGGGCACCAGCAGCAGAAGCAGCAGGAGAAGATAGAGGATAACCATATTAAAACCGGGACGGAACAATCATGCTGCAATACTTTGTTGCGTCGCGGCGCGGCAGAGACAATCCGCTCGCGCGTCCGAGCGAGACAGGGACCGCGAATGAACCCGCGTGCAAAGGGAGGGGGAGGTCGAGGGGGCGGCCGCGCAGGGGGGGGGCCGGGCGCGGGGGCACTCTCACGCAGCGAACCTGCGGCGAGCGCGCGGGGGCGGCCGGGCTGAAGGGCAGCGCCTGGCAGCCGTCGCGGGGCGGCATCGCGATGCGCCTATGGGCGGGGCCACCAGCCGCAGCGCGGGCGGAGCCCGGCAAGTGGGGGGGAACAGCGGGCGGCCGGAGAACCAGGGCACCAGGCGCGGAGGGGGCAGCGGCGCGGGGGCCAGCGGCGCAGCGCGCCGTCGCTGCAGAGAGCGGCCCGACGGCGGAGAGCGGCGGGCGGGCCACTGGCGAGGCGCGACTGGGCGGCCGGGCAGCACGCCGCGGGGGCGCGGTGCAGGGAGCAAACGGGGGAGAAGCGAACGCAATCCCGAACACGGCGCGCGGCATCACATTTTGGGACATGGCGGAACCCAAAGCAACTGACACACCAGCGGGGCTCCAACGAGGGGAAGGCGAGGGGCGGGCCGCAACGGGTGCCGCCCGAGGGGGCGCCAAGGAAGGCAACCACCAGGGGGGGGAAATGGGGGCATCCCGCGCGCCCAGAGGAGGGCCGCGCCGCGCGACAGGCAGCGCGGGCATGGGCCCGGGGCGAGGGGGCAAGAGCGGGAGGTGAACCGCAACGGCGATGACCTCCAAGTGGGGCAGCGCAAGCTGCAAACACGGGCAAGACCACCTGTCAAGCGCTGGGGCTGCAGGAACAGCCACCAGCAAGACGCGGCCCAGCGAGCGGCTCGCTTGGCGAGAGGCGGAGGGCAGAGCGCGGCGACTACCGACGGGGGCAGAGCCAGGGAGCGGGCGGAAGACAGCAAGGGCCCATCGGTCGCGAACACGCAAGAGGCAGCACGCCATCAGGGAGGACGGCGTACCGCAGGGCGGGAAGCCGCTGGGACCAGTGGGCCGAGCAGCGGAAGGGGGCCAACCAGGCCGCGCCGCGCGCCGCCCTGATTGGAAGGCGCGCGGGGGCCCAAGCGGCAGGCGCGCCCGCGAGGGGGGCGCGGCAGGGAAACCACCTAAAACGCGCGCAGACAGGTGGGCAACGGTGAAGCACCTAAATAGTGCGCAAACAACTGGAAGAGCAAGAGGCGGCACCCCCCTGGCCCGGGAAGCGCCCCGCGGTCGTCGAAGTCGGAACCAGGCATCATGGGAAGCACCATACTGGTGCGCAGACAGATGGAGGAATGGCGCGGGCGCCTCCCGGGTCGGGTTGACAGGCACCGCGATCGTCGTCGTAGCCAGGTAGACGGGAGCGCCTAACTGGTGCGCAGACAACTGGAGAACGCGCGCGGGCCACCTGGATTCGGCGACCACGCGCCGTCGCACGCTCCGAGGCGACGAGTGTGCCCACGGGGCGCCCAGCTGCCCATCGGCCTTCCATCACCTTAGAGCCCGCGCAGTCGAGACTGGCCCCACGCGGGCCAGGTCGCCTCGCCGCGCCGCTTGCCACCCTGTCCTCCGCCATCTGCCCGGCCCCAGCGGATCTGCTGCTGCCGCCAGACTGCGCCCCAGTCAACATCCCGGCGCCGATTCCTGCACAGGAGGCGGGCGCGGTGACCGACGAAGCGCCACGAAGGCCTCGCAAAACTCTGCCTGGCCTTTGGGGCGGCAAATACCTCTGCCGTGGCCCTTTCCGCCGCGCCGGCCGCGGGCCCCGCTCCATCCCTCCGCCAAGAGTGCGCCGCGTGACTGCTTCAGGTGGTTGACCGCCTCTGTCGGGGTCTCGAGCCCGTTCTCCGCGCTGGGCCACTGCGGCGCCCACAGGATGTTGGACCGGGGCCCTGCGCAGCCGATCCTGGCGCTCGCCCCAGCCCCGCGCGCCCCAGGTCTGAGCGCGACCCCACAGACTGTCGCGGCCCAGATTCCACCGAGACCCACCGCCCGACTATCCGGACTCGTCTCGACCTGCCGGGGGGGGGGGCCCAGGTCGCCCCGACGTCACGCGGCGCGTCTGTGGCCAGCGGGCGAGCAGCGACGGCAAATGTCCACGCGGCCTCCAAGTGCGCCCCGACTGGTGCCTCCAGGGGATCCCCGCGTGGTTTACCTCGCTGGGGGTGCCAGGCCAGGCGGGCGACGCTGGGCCCGCCCCATGCCGTTAGCCAGAACTCGCCGATGCGGACGCACAAGCTCTGTCGACTGGCCCTAGAATCAACCCCCTGGCGGCGTCTGGGAGGAGGCGCCCCCCGCGCTCATCGGCCTGCGCGCAACAGCAGGCGGCTCACCGGTCGCATGCATCGCCCTGGTGACGACGCAATCGCCGACGCGGACGAGAGGGGCAGGTCCCGCGCGCACCCTGGAGACCATGGCCCTGACCGCACGGCGGCACCCTTCCCACACCCAAGCTCCTGCGCGCGATCCGCCGTCAGAGCTCGCGGCGGGATCGCCGGGGCGGTCGCCAGGCGGGCGGAAGCTCCCGCCAGGGCTGGCACCCCTAGATTTGCAATCCTCTGGCTCGGGGCTTGAGCCGGCCAGCTGCAACACCTGGCTGGCGCCCGCTGGGGGCTGGTCGACGGCCTCCCTGGCTGGACCTTCTCGCTGTTCACCCTGGTCGGCAGCGGGAGATGCCCCGCGGCGGCCAGGGCCAGCAAAGTCCTGGGCAGCACCTCTCCCCAGCTCTGGGACGGCGCACTTCCACGCGCTCGGACGAGGCCGAGCCGCGCGCGGCCGCTCCAGGCTTGGAGTTGGCGGGCCCACGGCAGCCAGCAAGATGAACCGCGCCCGTCTGCCGCATGTTCTGACTGCCCCTTAAGGCCGCCAATGCGTCGGCGTCGCAGCGCAGGGGTCGGCCCCCCGAACCTCGGTCTTGGCCACCAGGAAGCTTCGCCAGGCATGCGCGAGATGGTCGTCGAATCCTTCGCACTTCCCCGCGGTTGCTATCCCCCAGGCAACGACGTCTGCAAGGGCAGCGCGTCTCCCGCCCCCGGTGTATTTATCTGACACCCCGCTTAGCGGCATGGCGTCGCCGTAGACCGTGGTCAGGGGAGCCAGGCACTCGCTGCGGGCCCAGCACCTGGCGTCAACCGCCCGCTCTTTGCACCTCCCGGGTTTCCTGACGCGCTGGCCCTCAACGACAGCCCGTCACGCTTCGTCGATCTCGTAGTGGAGCTCGCGGGCGCGGTCGACCACGGCGCGCGCGATGTCCAGGTCGAACCTGCCGCGGCGCGGCGAGGCCCAGACCACGTCAGAGGCCTCCAACGCGGACGCGGCCCTGCACGCCAGGCGGGGGCAGACAGGAGGCGGAGGCGGCTCAAGGTCAGCCAGCACTGCCGCAGGGCTCTCGGGCACGACGGGCGGCCGGGCGCGCGTCTCGCGCGGGATGTCTGGGGGCTCGCGGGCCGGCCAGGCCGCGCCAGGTCGCAACGAGGGCGCCCGCGCAGCGCCCCTGGCCCCAGAGACTGCAGGAAATCGGAGAGGACGTCCTCATCCATCCGGGCCGGCACCTTGGAGACGACTCTTGGAAGGGCCGGGCGGAAATCATCCCAGGCGTCGCGCTTCCTTCCGTCCTGGTTGATTGCCCACTCGACCAGGTGCGCGTGCCAGAACTGCAGGCACGTCGCGCCCCATAACCATGCGCCAAATTCCACTTGCCAACCTTGCGGAAACGCCCATCCTCCAAACGGGCTTTGACGAAAAACCTGCGGTGGCATGCATCGACGGCGGCGGGCACCGCGTTGTCCGCGTCATTGTGTAGGCCCCAGGAGCAAAAGTCGATCCATGGCAGGTTGACATCGGGCCCGTAGTTGCACCTGGCATAGCCGACGACGGCGAGCATCTCGCCCCGCGTCAACTCCTCCATCTGGCGCTCTTTCTGTATAAGCAGCTGCGGGGGATCGCAACAATTTGGTAGGTAGGGCAGCATATTGTCCTGCAGCCACCTGCAGCCCATCTCCCTGGGCGCCAGCCCCTGCAACCCCGAGCATCCTCACGTCTGAGCCTGTTCTGCACGCATCTCCTGCCCGGCTGGTGGGGCTGCCTGCACGTGCGTGACTGCTGGCCCCAACTCTGGGCGAGCGCCTTCTGCGGGCAGCCGGGGGGCTGCCGCTGCCGCTGTCCCTTTTCCTCCTGGGCGGGGAGCTGTGTCGCCGCATCCGGCTGGAGCCTGTGCCGGCCCGCGTCCTGGTGGTCTCGACTTCCCATCGTCCACTGGGTTCCCCACACCTCCCACGATGCGGGGGGGCCGTGCTGGTCGCACCCTCCGGGCGCCTGGGGGGAAAGAGTTTCGCCTGCGCCTGCGCTGCGACGACTGCCTCCTGTCATCTCGGCCTCTGGAGGTCGTGCCCGGTGCTGCCCGGTGCC